TATTTAAATTAATAGAATTTTTTAATTTGGTACTTAGTTACAAAGATATACGATGAAATATTTGAAGTATTGAAATGAATAATAATATTTTTGAAAAATCGATTCCGACTTGGCCAACAAATCTGCCATTAAAAGAACATTCAGTGATTTTGTGACACTGCTTATCAATATGATGTCACCAATGTAAATCGTTTTTAATTAAAAGTTATTTTCTGTGCGTGATATCAGTATTACTGAGAATATCTTGTCATGTGTGTCTGTAATCGTTCGAGAAGACTACTTGAAAAAGAAAGACTACTTAAGGAACAGGTGGCATAATCCAATGCGCTTATATATATGCGACCTATGTACTTTCATATCTCTCACATAGATAGGTACACATACACACTTGGGTGATCGATGCTCCGTCTCAAGTGTTATTCAAATTGTCGCGAGATTTACGGTGCCCGTAACACCCATCTATCTTGTTTAACTTTGCTCCATTGCGATAAGCGCGATGTAACTTTTTAACTAAAAGGTATGCACTCTCGAGACAAATACGCAATAAAAAATAAAGAACCCAAGGGAGTCTACGATATCAAAGCGATACATAAGATTAATTAAATAGCAGTTATCTCGTTATCGACTTTCCCTTTGCGAGGATACGGTTGTTTATTTGTCGTTGGTGATGGAAACGATAATTTTGTTTATTACATAATATCAATTTTCCATCGATTAACTCGACGCACAAATATATGTATTTGAATTTTTCGACTTTGTAACGATTATTGTTTATAGTCTGTATGGATTATTTTATCAATTCAATTCATACATGATAAATTTAATAGTAATAGTTAGATATTTTATATAATTGTTTTAGTTAAACAATTGTATTACTACAATTTGTAATTTTATAAAAATATATATAGTAAAATGAAATTGCCGATGATAGAAACCTTTCTCCTCTATGTATCAAGAAAGACATTAAATTTACCCGTTCCGAGAGCCGGGGCAGGATGTAAGTTGCAACTAACTAACGCACAAGTGCCCGGCAAATGGACGCGAATAAATGCGGCGTCTCCCTTCGGCCCCTCGACGAGCGCGAAGGGCACATCAGAAGCAACGACGACAGAACGATGGGTCTCTATCCGTCCGTCGACGGATAATATAATCCGTCGAATACTTTGTCCGGAATCATCAGCAGATTGGCCGGCGGTTCTCTTCCTCTCTCCTGCGGAGAGATATCCCTTAACAAAATCTCTTTCCCCTCCCTCCTAGCCCCGGGTCCACGGATGTCGTTATAAAAGCCGGCGCGCTTCGACACGCCGGGAGTGTTTCTTCAACGGCTTACCTTGATCCTGACTTGTGTGCGCGACGATTAATCCTTACTTTATACCGGTCATCATGGCACAGATCGTCGGCAAGTACCAGTACGTGTCGAGCGAGAACACGGACGAATTTATCAAGAGCATCGGCAAGTCCGAGCTCACGGACACGTTCTTGCAATCTACGCCGGTCGTGGAGATCCAGCAGAACGGCGATCAGTGGGTAGTCGCGGTCACCAATCAGGATAAGACCGTCACCAGCACCTTCAAGCTCGGGGACGTCTACGATGAGCGGTTTCCATCTCAGAGCGTCAGTTTTAAGGTGAGTTGGCACGAAATGTTGCTTGAATGAGCGAGAGGGTCGCATCATAATCCAGGAGATGACAAAAAGTTTAAAAAGATTCTGAAAGCGCTTTTAATTTGTTTAAGATTAGTACTTGGAATACTTTATTCTTCTACGAGAGTTCTGGGATTTAATATATTTCAATGATTAATATAACATTTACCTATCACATCTATTTCATCCAAATGTAACTTAAATAAACACATCATTTGTTTATATTTTTGTTCTTACGTTTTTGAGGGGATATATATCCTACAAGATCTAATATATATTTATATAAAATTAAAATTGAATAAAATAATTTTTATATTGATTTGGTCAACTCGGAAGCAATCTTTCGTTCTTTTGACGAGAAGAAAAGCGATAATTGTCATGTTTTTCAATCTTGCTGCAGAGCGTGACCACGAAACAAGATAACGGCTTCAAAACGGAGACTTCTTTAACTCCGGATTTCAAAGTGACCAGAGTCTACGAATTCACAGACACTGGAATGATCGCGGTAAGTGCAGTTTTGAATACAAATGAATGCAATAACGTTACAAAGATTCTTATATACATTTCTTTTCTTCCTTTCGTTTCAGCACGTATCTACCAACAGAAGCGATGTTAAAGCCAAGCGTATATACAAAAGACTGTAAAGCCATTTTCTTATTTAAATATATAGTATGTAATACGTGATATACCAGATCATTCTATTAAAAGGATCAAAGTGTAAAGAAAATGTTTCCTACATTACTCTCCATCAATTTCCTCAATGGTGTGGATCAGATCGAACGATAGAGGACGTACATCACTGAACATTATCAAATTCAAACGTAATATGTCATTTATTTAAGTATGAATTCTAAGAAATAAATGGTGACAAATACACAAAAAATCGGAATATCACGCATTCGCGTGTGAAACGCTAAGTTATGATCTCTGATAACACACGAGGCCATATTATAATGCATATCAGGTTGAATATTGTGCGTGTGTACAAGTCTTATCGATATCGCAAAGGACTCTCGCGCGCGCGCGCATCCAAACACATTCGTCTCCATGAGATTGCATCTCCCGATTTCGTGTCGGAACATCGTTCGCTGCATATTTGAAAGCCATGGTTACAACACGATTCATCAAACAAAATAAATACTAATGTTTCATGATCAGATGTCAAATGAAATAAAAAAAGAAAAAAAACTTTTTCGAATGCCTCTTGAATATGCCATTCGTCCGAATGTTTTCTTTTTTTTTTTCTAACATAATAGAAGCATCTGAAATCTCGAGTTCCATGAAGCTTTAAAATTGTTGAAAAAGAAATTTGTTATTTATGCGGAATAAAACCTTTTAAGTGCGCGCGTGCAGCAATCTTCGACGCCGATCGCCTTTGAGAAATACGAAAAGGAACGAGTTTCGAAGATTTGGCGAGAGAAAATATTAAAAGAAAAAACGAACAGATATATATATATA